CCCCAACCCCTTCTTCCCCCCAGCCACCGCTCCTCCTCCTATACTAACGCGAACAACAGTGGCCACCGAGATCTTCTTCTACTTCCCGATCTACAACCTGAACGACGGGGGCATCGGCTCCGTGCTCTCGAACCAGGGCGCCTCGATGACGACGAACGGGGCGCCCAACGACCTGCTCAACAACTTCAACGCGCTGACGATTATCGTGGCGGTGCCCATCCTGAACTACGGGATCTACCCGCTCCTGCACAAGTACAACTGCCACCCGGGGCGAATCACGCGCATCACCTTCGGGTTCTTCCTGGCGACGATCGGCGGCGTGGCGGGCGCCATCGTGCAGTACCGCGTCTACAAGACCTCGCCGTGCGGCTACGACGCCTCCTCGTGCGCGACCGGCGTCTCCCCCATCAGCATCTGGTGGCAGCTGCCCAACACCATCCTGTCCGCGCTGTCCGAGATCTTCTGCAACGTCACCGCGTACGAGCTGGCCTACGCGCGCTCCCCTGCCAGCATGCGCGGCCTCGTCATGGCCGTCTTCCTGTTCATGACCGCGCTGAGCAGCGCGCTCGGCGAGATCCTCGTCCCCGTCACCGAGGATCCCTATCTTATCTGGATCTGGGCCGCGCCGGCGATCGCTTTGGCTGTGCAGGGCGTCTTGTTCTGGTTCCGCTTCAAGCATCTCAATAATGACCAGTTCATGACGGATGAGAAGGACTACGAGGGGGAGGAGGTGGAGGGGGCGCGGAGTGAGCCGAGTGTTGTCGGGGAAGAGAAGGAGGTCGTGAAGAGTGGGTAGTTGACTTTCTTTCACTTGCATTGATGGCTGGCTGGGGGGCATGGTGAGGGTTAATGGGTCCATGTATGATTGACGGGAATATGGAGGGTATATGTCTAGGTGAATTAATCTAATCGCTACACTTCTATCACCACAAATAGTCAACAATTCTGTAATGTACACCGGACTATTCCTACAGCCCACCTCCCACCTAAGCATCGGCATCCACCTCATAAGCAAAGGGAATACTCTGCATCGCCCCCTTGCGCTGCACGCACCCGGCCGCCGCGCGATTCGCCAGCCTCACCGCGCCCTCCACCAGCCCATCGAACTCCTCCAACCGCCTGCCCTGCGCCACGAACCGCGCAAACGCCGCCGTGAAGTACCCAACAAACGTATCCCCGGCGGCGGTGGTATCCACGACCTTGGCCACCTTCTCCGCGGCGACGCACCCGCTCGTGCCGAACCGGGTCGAGAAGAAAGCCCCCTTGGCGCCCAGCGTGATGAGCACGATGCCCACCTCGGCCGCCTCATGGAACCGCGGCGCCAGCACGCGGGCCAGCGTCTCAGGGTCCTCCTCAATCAACGACCCCGCCCCATGCTCCAACCCCAACGCCTTGGCCATGAGCACCGCCTCCGTCTCATTCATCACCAGCACGCTCGTGCCCCTGAGCGCCTCCAGCGGAATCCCCTCCGGAAAGACCGGCGCCGGGTTGAAGACCACATGCGCCCGCGCATCCCGCCGGTTATAATGCTCCAGGAGCCCCAAGACCGTCTGCCGGGGAATCTCGCCCTGCAGCACCACCACCTTCTGATTCTCTTGCGGAGAAGAAACCAACCCCTCCACCCCCTGCACCACCTCGTCCACGGAGTTCATCCCAACATGGTTGGCCCCCGGCACAACCGCAATCCGGTTCTCGCCGCTCTCCTCCTCGACGATGATCGTCGCGGATCCCGTGCTCGCGTCGGCCCGCTCGGTCACGCCGGCCACGCTGACGCCGGAGCCCTCGAGGAGGGGCCGCATCAGGGCGGAGTAGTAGGGGTCGTTGGCCCCCACCGCGCCGACCATGTAGACGTTCGCGGCGTGCGTGGTCGGGGTGGTGTGTGCGGCGCGGCCGCAGGCCACGGCTTGGTTGGCGCCCTTACCGCCGGCGGAGATGGTGAGGCTGGTCGCGGTGAGGGTTTCGCCGGCCTGCGGGCAACGTGGCGTGTAGGTGACAAAGTCGGTGTTCAGGGAGCCGATTATGAGGATTGAGGGGGGCGACGACATTTTGTGGGGGGGGTGGTGGTGAGGTGGGGAGCGGGGTCGAGGTTGAGTGCGGTTCTGAGGATTGTTCGGGCTGAGAGGTAAGTATTTTGTTTTGGGAGGTCGGTTGATGGTGGAACTTACAGCTGAGACTGAGGAGGAGAAAGGGGAGTTGTGTTGTATCGTGTTGTATTATGTTGAGTTGAGTAGAGAAGAGGAAGTAAACAGGTTATTGTTGCATGCGATGCGATGCGACGAAAGGGTCGTGTAAGCGGGGAAGAGGAGGGAGCATCAGTCAGCAGATCACGTGCACGACGTAGTCACGATAAGATAAGCTGATAGCGATAAGGTAGTGCGCATATGAAGGTACGAGGGGAGGATGGACAGCCTGCAAGAATTCCATGTCTATGACTTTGAATTGTAGACTGTAGTACTCTGAGGCGATTCATTCAGAGGAATTCCTCGTTAAGATATGTTATCCTAGTGTAAACTTGGCTTCTACTAAGCATACAGACACAAACCTTCCAGCTGGAATATAAACAACCCTATCCGCGCTTTATACCTCGGCAGCAGGCAAGTTACTGTCAGTGCATAGACCACTCAATCCGGAGGCAGGACTGGCTCCCAAATTCTGCAGAAAAAAAGACGCTATGTCCTAAGGACTTATACACTCTAGTCCTCATCATCTGCAGCGGAGCAGGTCCAGGTAACCCCAATCAGGCACCCACATACCCCCCCGGCCCACCACCATCCACCTCGGCATCCCCTCCGCTCGCCATTTTAGGAACTCTGATGCAATCTGCAAGCCAAACAGCCATCACTGCACAGACACAAACCCCCTGACAGGTCCGAGAAATTCCCCGAGCTCCTGCATGCCATTCCCCCCCGACACGGGGTACATACCCGTCAACCTTAATGTCGTCCCGCCGTTGCAGTTCTTCAGCGTCCAGCACCGCCATACCGCAGCATAGCAGTATATAAGAGCCACCGTCCCATACCCAAGACACCCAGTAGACAGCACCCTTCACTCCACCCCCACCAAACCATCCCAGATCCAAAAGCAAAATGCTCTCCCTCTTTCTCACCCTCCTCGCAACCAGCACCCTCACCCTCGCCGCCCCCTCCCCCCTCCACAAACGCTCCGTCACCTGCCTGAAGGTCGGCGCCACCGCGACAGCATCATGGACCAACAGCGCCGGCCAGAGCTGCACGTACACCGGCGTGGTGGGCAGTAACTACGGCGAGAACAGTGCGGGAGGCGAGTACGTTATTCCTCTCATTCCCCCCACACATTCAACCCGATGTACATCCTGACCAAAGAAAGCTACTCGTGCAACGGCCGCTGCGGCGCCGGATGCACCGGCACCGCCATCGGCAACGTCTACACGCAGGACTGCTGGTCGCATGACATCTGCAGTTACTTCAACAATGCGTCGGGTGGGGCGAGGTATGTCCTTTTCCCCTCCCTCCCTTTCAACCCTCCCACTAGATTGGTGAGTGGGTTCCGGGTAGAGGCAGGCTAACGGGATAGTGACCCCAACTGCGGCGCGGCGTACGAGGCGGCCGAGGACGATTTCCTGTTGGGTTATGTGGATGGGTGCTCGCAGACGAACCCGACGAATGCGGTGGTCAAGCCGGCTGTCTCGCCGGTTTGTTCTTAGCGTTGGTTCTCCAGCCGGGGCTCAGGTTAGCTATCACGGGCAAGGAGGATGGAGATGCGACGGCACTGTATTCTTACACTTCACTTCACAAAGTATACGATACATCTTCTGTATCAATCTAAGAACCGGGTAAACAGGGTAAACAGGGTATCACTCCAAACATACCACCGCAAAGTGAAAAAAAAAAAAGAAAAAAAAAAAAAAAAAAAAAAAAAACCAAACAAACAAAGCCAGAACGGCCCCAGAAGGAAAAGATAATGCCCAGAGCAAGACAGTCGCATCGCAATCAAACCGCGGAAAAGTACCCCCGCCCACTCTCCAACGGCAGCGGGGGCTCCGTCAAGGCCATCCCGATATCATCCTGCAACTGACTCAGCCCGGGCTTCCGCGCTTTGCACGGGGGCGTCTCGCCCGTCGAGGAGCCCCGGCTGTGGCTCTCGGCGGCGGAGCTGTGGATGCCGATGAGCCAGGGGCAGTGGAACCGCAGGAACTGCCGGAAGTACGGTAGGCAGCCACAGATGATGATGAAGTTGGCTTCGATGACGCTGGATGGGTGGTTAGCACTTCGCCTCGACAAGAGGAATCACGGCGCGTACATAAACACACTCGCCAACGCAAGCTTATACGTCGGATCCACCGAGGTCACTAGCGGCCATAATGTTGCGAGGCGCACGATGCTCGTGACGATCGTCCTACCGTCGAAACCTATTAGCCAACCCTGTCCTCTTCCCCACCCCCTTCTCCGCATACCCCAATCCAACACCCAGGGGAAGACGTACAAACACCCCACCAAGAACATCCCGAAAATCCCCACCTTCTGCACCGTCGGCAAGGTCAACTTCATCACGATCGGCACGGGAATCAGAATCAACACCACGTCGCTCAGCGTGTTCGTCACCGCGGTCGCCATGTAGATCCCGGGCCGACTGATGCACCCGCCCGTCGTGTCGGTGACGTCCCAGTTCCGGCCCACGGGGTGGCACGCGAATATGAGTGCCAGCGTGAGCGCGATGCTGTACGCGATGATGAAGACAGCCACCCCGTTGATCACGTACTTCCAGAACCGGATCATGCTGAGCAGCCGGTGGTAGAGCATCAGGAGCGCGATCTTGGCCAGCGCCAGGCTGGAGATGTAGATTGTGGCGGCGGGGACGACGACCTTTGCCCCTCCGTGATCAGTGGATGCACTTTGGTGTTCAAAAGGGGATGTGGGGAGGCTGGACGCACCTTGAGATAGGTGTTGATCTGGTCCGGCGTCAGAAACCAGATGTGCACGCCGATGTGCGCGTGCTCGAACCCGTCTGCTTCTGTTAGTGCCCGCTGACTCCCTTGAGACAGATCAGGGTGCAACGCACAGATGATAGTTCCTTGTGTCGCCATGGAAATGACCTATCGCGCGTGAGCACTCTCTGTTACCACGGCGTAAAAACAGCGACACCATACCCAGGCGCATATCAAGCACACTGCGACAACGACAGTCAGCCTCGACCCGACCACGTCCGAAAGCGTACGCACCATCATCCCACCAGAACTTCTTCATGATCCGGATCTTTGTGTAGACCCGCATCACCAGCAACGGGGTGCACACGGCGATCCCCACCGTCGCCAGTGCCAGATTCGTCGTCCGCAGCCAGGCGTGGCCGGGACTGCCGGTGGTGTTACTCGCTGAAGCGGCTGCGCTGGCTGCCTCCATGATGAGGTGCCGTAGAGGGTGCAAATACAGAGAACGGGGGCATGATTGCTCCACCGGGAGAATGGTTGACACTTTGTTTGCCGTCGCAATGGGGAGATGGGGCGGCGGGGTGGGATTTTATACTGGGGAATTAAGGTTGGGGGGGATGCACGGATGCACGCATCATCGACTCGGCCAGTTGCCGATCCGGCAAATGACATCCGGCGGCAATGCACTGCCTCTCCCTCCAACCAAGATCCACCCGATCGTTGAACGTCAATTAAGCTTGACTTCGTATCTTATGTCATCATCTAATTTTTAATCAACTCGTATCACTCATCATTAAATACTAATCTGGTCGTCTCATCTATACATCTCATCCAAGCGAGCACGTCATTATATATACACATTTCAGAACGGCTCAGACTTTTCAGCTCCACGCTCACGCCCCCATTATCACGAATCCAATGCAAAGCATCGTTCCACGGAATCAGCATTGTTGCCCCACCAGTTTGGCATCGACACCCGCTTGCCGGATCCAAAGAACAAGAAGATCAACAGCATGTTCAAATTGAACCCTGCGTCGAACGCCGCCGCAATCATATAGCTGTATCGCTTCCACACCTCGAAGCGGTGGCGGTAGGCCCAGTACATCACCACGTAGCCGCCAATGAAGGCCGACGTGTATCCCGTGCTGAGATTACCGTAGAAGACCGCCATCCCCGAAAAGAAGATGCTGACGTTCCACAGGTCGATCCGCAGCCACTTGGGCAGCAGGCGGTGCGCGATGTAGAGGATGGGCGGCAGGACCGCTCCCACCAGGAACGCCCACGGCAGGGGCCGCATCTCAGCTTCCTTGAACAGACGGCTGGGACCAAGTACGGCGTACTGGACACCAAGAGTGTTGGAAGACTTCAGGGACTGTCCAGACCACTGCCCAAGCGGGTCGGTCGTCTGCCCGGACAAATAGTCACCCTTGGTGTCAAGCACCCAGCGAATCACCGCATAATTGATCGGAATCCCAAGGATCGTACCGAAGACCTGGGAGAAGAAAACAGTCTTGGGAGGAATATGCATGTAGTGTCCGATCTTCTGGTCCTGAAGCATGTATTGCGCCCGATACCATGCATCACCGGCAATAGAGCCATACACCGAGGGTCCGCAAGGGTGACGGTGTCCGGCGCCCGCTTTGGTCTCCACCATGTAACCGTAAACCAGCTCGTTAAACGAACCAGCAGCGATCTGATAGTTCGAGATGGCGTACAAGAAACCAAACGGCAACACCAGCGCGCCTGCGGTCGACAGCCCCACAAAGAGCGTCCAAATCGGAATCCAGAGATAACCACAAGCCAGGATGACAATCAGAGCCACGAACCCAGCCATGAAGAGAGCCACGTACCACCACAGAGGTACTTCTTTGTAGGCACGCTGCAGCACATTCAGCCGATCGTGATACTGCCAGTTGAGGCCTTGGTTGGGAGTCTGCGAAACCTTCTTGCGGGAGGCAATGAACTTTTTCACGTTGGTGTAGACCTGGGTCCACCCAAAAGTCAAGATCCAGGTCACGGCGGCTGTGATTTTGGCATAGTCGAAAAATGTTGCCCAAGCATTCTGAAGACCCATGTACATCGGTCCATACTGCTCATAGGCGGTCTCATTCAGATTGTAGTTAGACGTGAGCACCTTCAGGGTGGGATAAGTGGTGCCGTTCGCCGTCATTAGCGAGTTGGACATCAGTCCGTACTTGAACGACCCCAAGTTGCCCCATTTGGCGGCGGGTAAGAGCACCCAACAGTTGAACACAAACGCTGCGAACAAGACGACCTGGGTCCACCAGGGAGTCAGCAGGATCGAAGACCCGTTCCAGTTGATGTTGGACCAATCGAGCGACAGGTTCAGGAAGCCCATTCCTCCAATTCCAGAACCAATGAAGTTGGCCACCGGGTTACGGGGGGCAACCCAACACAGAAAGGCCAGCGACGAAGTGAAGGGGAAGACATACTCCGGCAGGAATTGCCACAGTGTCATACCCAGCAGAGAGAAGAAGAAGATCTTCATTTGTCGGCGCGCAAGGGGCGACGATCGGTCTTGCTTGCGGAAACTCTCGAAAAGGGTCGTCTGCATGAGTGCCTGAGGCCAGATAAACATGGGGTCGTACAGCAAGACCTGACGCACGAGGGCGGCAAAGGCGTATCCAATCCAGACAATGGCAAACATGAAGAAAATGGCAACCCCGGCATTGACGCGCTCACCGTAGAATAGCTCGGCCATGGCAATGGGGGTGTAGCCCAGATTGTAGGTCGCTCCGGAGGCGGCAGTCAGGGTGACGAGCACGTGCTCCTTGATGCTCCATGGCGCGGGGTTGAGGTTGAACGACCAGCGGGTGAACGGCAACCGAACCTCCCAGGCTGGAAGCACTCGAGCCAAGAAGTGACCGGCGTAGTGACAGGCAATCTGGACGAAGAAGACGGAATACGGAGCCTCCCGAGTACGGAAGTGACTCATCATCGAAAGGAAAGCTCCGGGACAAACAAAGATGATACATAGCACAAAGTAGCGGAAGGTAATCGTTGGCAGCGTCGGATCGTCGGTGAGACTGACGAGTTGGCGGACCTCCAGTGGCAGAGCGGTAATCTCAGGATCGTCCTCGACCTCCGCCTCGGCCACGGTCGGCTCTCCAGATTTCGGGTCGCGCTCCGGATCCCGCTTCAGATTGTCCACTGGGACGTTGGTGATCGAAGGCGTCTCGGATGTGGGTGTGAGCGTTGGGTTCTCGCTGTAGCTGGTGGACCGGGCTCCTGAGGTAGCGTCCTCCGACCCGTCAGAGTCGTGTTTCCGACGAAAGATGGTGGGCAGACCCATCTTGCACTGTCCAACCCAGAAGGGTGTGATTCTTTACTATTGGCAATGAGAAACATCTTGACAGCTTGGTGAGCGCGCGCGGCCTTATAGAGGAGAACAGGCAGTTTGTCATTAGTTTCTGGGCAAAATGGCGTGCTCGCCGACACGACAGGCCTAATGCCAGAAATGGTCACAAACGTGCATGTTGTTCGGGCGAATTCCGAAGCCACGGGATGCGACTGGATGCATGGTAAGGTTAGGTGGATGCAAGGGCTTTGGCACAGGGCCAGACTGGTGGATGAAAGATGGCGTTATCTGTGGAATCTTATTCGCGATCCGCCGAATGATTCCTAGCTTGGACGCTGCAAGGGCGCTGATTCGCCGAGCGAGATTAAACTTAGTCAACGGACCGTGCCTGAGCCAGATAAAAGAGTCTGGCTGGAACGGTTTCTGCTCTGGTGTTTGACTCTGGCTTCCTTCTCTCGGGGGAATTGACTAATTGCGGCGGGGTGGAGTTTACACCGAAGGGCACACGCGGCGGATCTTCGGCGGCTCACGTGGCCGACTGACCAGTGATTTTTTCCGTTCTGAAGCTTGCGCGGAAAAAGCTCGTTTAAAGTGGGTCGACTCTGGCATGGCACTGCTGGGTGGTCGTCGTCTTGCTTAATCCCCACGGGCTTAGATAGATACCGGGCATTATCTTGAGAAAGAAGGGGGAATCATTGCCACTGTCACTTTGTTTTATCTATTCGTCAGTCATTGTGAAGATCATCCCATAAAAGTCACACAGGGAACGCACCAATGCAGCACAAGCAGGGATAACGCGGCCGGTGGTGGTGGTGGTGGTGGTGGTGGTGGGTGGCGGTAGCCAAGCGTGAGCCACTTCTTCTGGAGTCTAGCACCTGTGGACGGCCACCGGAGCGATCGACAAGGTGTATGCAGTACGCACTGCGCTTGCTCTGAACAGAGAAGCTTCCGACAGTAACCGTGACCTTGACATGCATGCATAACAAGACAAGTCTGTTGGTTCAAAGTGACAGGTGCCAGTCAAGGAAATCAAGGCAGTCAAGCAGGTTGAGAATAACGAAGGAGTGGGGGAAAAGCGAGAAGTCACGATGACGTCCTTCTCCCATCAACGTCACCGCCCTGGAATCTGCCGCGACCGTCGCTCCCAGCCAGATCTATAAACCTTTCCAAGGTCATGGACTCTCTTCTTTTGTACCTGTACTCTTCAATTCAGCATCGATATTCTCTACGCACGCAATCAAGATGACAGGCCACACCAGAAAGCACAAGGTCGCCGTGGTCGGCTCAGGAAACTGGTACGAACGCCCGCCTCCCCATCCTCCTAACATCACTGACGCACACCCCTCCAACCAGGGGCTCGACCATCGCCAAGATCATCGCTGAAAACACCAACGAGCACCCCGACCTCTTCGATAAGGAGGTGCGCATGTGGGTCTTTGACGAAGACATCGAAATCCCGGAGTCCTCCAAGCACCACAGCAAGCTGGGCGGCCAGAAGCGCAAACTCACCGAGGTGATCAACCAAGTCCACGAGAACGTGAAATACTTGCCAGACATCGCCCTGCCAGATAATGTGGTGGCGGATCCCGACCTCAAGTCCACCGTCAAGGATGCCACACTGCTCGTCTTCAACCTGCCGCACCAGTTCATCGGCAAGACGCTGGACGGGATCGCGGGCCACATCCTGCCGTACGCGCGCGCCATCTCCTGCATCAAGGGGGTGGATGTCTCCGACGGGACGGTGACGCTGCACTCGGAGCTGATCATGGAGCGGCTGGGGATCTACTGCGGGGCGCTGTCGGGGGCCAACATCGCGCCCGAGGTCGCGGCGGAGAAGTTCTGCGAGACGACGATCGGCTACGACGTGCCGCCGATGGACCTGAAGCAGCAGGATGACTCGGCGGAGGCCAACCTGATCAAGATCGACGAGCAGCGGCAGTGCAAGGCGAAGCCGACGCACGTCCGGCTCACCCGCGTGCCGCCGGAGCTGCCGCACGTCGGCGCCGAGCTGCTCGAGACGCTGTTCGCGCGGCCCTACTTCCACGTGCACCACGTGCGCGACGTCGCCGGCGTGGCGCTCGGCGGCGCGCTGAAGAACATCATCGCCCTCGCGTCGGGCTTCGTCGCCGGCAAGGGCTGGGGCGAGAATGCCAAGGCCGCCATCATGCGCGTCGGCGTCCTCGAGATGGTCAAGTTCGGCCGCACCTGGTTCCCCAAGTCCGTCGAGGAGCGCACCTTCACCGAGGAGAGCGCCGGCATGGCCGACCTGGTCTCCTCCTGCAACGCCGGTCGGAACTACCGGTCGGCCTGCCACGCGGTGGAGCAGGGGGTCAGTGTCAAGGAGATCGAGGAGAAGGAGCTCAATGGACAGAAGCTGCAGGGCACGTCCACCGCGTACGATATCTATGAGTTCCTCGAGAAGCAGGGCAAGCTCAAGGAATTCCCCTTGTTTGTTGCAGTTCACGGTATGTTCCTTCCCTTGGTGCTCAGAGGGGGTTAATGCTGACATGTCCCAGATATCCTTGAAGGCACTGCTAAAGTGGAAGATCTTCCAGCATTGATTGGGGGAAGAAAGAAGATTGAAGGCTAGAGTGGTTTGAGAACTCCTTGGTAATGATGGACGAAACGATAACGAATATATAAATTGATGAACTGAGACTGTATCATTGTTCGAGTGACGAGCAAGCTGTGAAGACGAGTTATTTGAACAACACCTAGATTATAAACTTTGCTGGAAGAAGCGCTTCAAGTAACAAGCATATAATAACAGAGACCCCGAGCAAGACTATCGTCTTAGTGGAGCTGGTGGTAGTGGAAACCATCGTGATGGTGGTGGTGGTGCTGAGTTGATTATTGCGGGGACGGTCGGAACGATGTGGGTCGTATAGTTCATCTCGAATTTGGAAACTTTTTCGCTTTAGGTCAAGCTGTAGAGATACAACTTTTTAATTATGCACATATTCTCATCTAGTCCACGCGGATGAAATCATCCCCCTAAGCCTCCTCTCGGTCCATATCATCCCTGTTCCTCTTCTTCCCCCGTCCGCCCCGACCCTTGGTATCTTTATCCTGCAAGTCCCGCATGGCCATGGCCGCTTGTCGCTGTGCCTCGTTCACTCGGTCGCTGAACACCATGACCTCGTCCTTCTCCGGCTTGTACTCGTCCAGCTTCTTGTTCAAGACGCCCTCGATCCGCAGCCATACCTCGACTTCGTATTGGGTGACAAAGGAAATGGCAATACCGCTCTTGCCTGCACGAGCTGTTCGACCCACACGGTGGATGTAGGTCTTGCTGTCCTGAGGCAGGTCGTAGTTGAGGACAAAGTCGACGGCGGGGATATCGAGACCACGGGCCGCAACATCCGTGGCCAGCAGGAGATTGCGCGACCGGGCGCGGAACTTGCTCAACGACGCCAAACGAGCGCTCTGAGAGAGTTGACCGTGGATAGGGATGGCGCCGAAGCCGAGGTTGCGCAACAGGAAAGCCAGGCGCTGGGTTTCGTGCACGGTGCGTGTGAAGATAATGCCCAGTTGTCCCGCGCGCTCGTTCAGCAGGTGGACCAGGTAGACGTCCTTGAACTTGTGTGGGATGAACATGTACGACTGGGAGAGATTCGTGGCGGTCTGGTTCTTGGCGGAGACGGAAACGCGGACGGGGTCGGACAGGGACGCCCGCTGGAGGGACTCGACCTTGTTGGACATGGTCGCGGAGAACAGGTAGGTTTTTCGGCGCGGCAAGAGGCGGAGAAGCTTGTCTAGGATGGGACCGAAGTCCAGATCCAAAAGTCGATCGGCCTCATCCAGCACCAGGTATTTCAGGTTCTTGAGCGAGAAGCCCTTGGTGTTTTCCAGGTGATCCAGCAGACGTCCCGGCGTCGCCACGATGACATGCGGTTTCTTGCCCAGGGCCATCGCTTGCGACACCATGTCCATACCACCGATCAATAGTGTACAACGCACGGAGATCAGCGACCCCAGGGCTTCCACGGTTTGGGCGATCTGCTGCGCCAGTTCTCGGGTGGGCGCGACGATGAGGGAGTGCAGGGTTTGGGGTTGGTCCATCAGTGCTTGCAGGATCGGGAGCACAAATGCGGCCGTTTTACCACTACCCGTCTCAGCGAGACCGATCAGATCTCGTCCTTCTAAAGCGATCGGAATACAACGGGCCTGAATGGGAGTGGGCTTCTTGAAGCCTAGCGAGTCGCAGGCCTCGCACAGGGAGTCTATGACTCCCAGTTCTTGGAAAGTTTCTGCAAGCTTCGTGGTCGACTCGAGTTCGGAATCGGCGATCGGGGTCGCATCCGCCTCCGGTGAGGCATCTTTGGCAATTTTGCCCATCTTGTGAGATTGATGGGGTGTTTGCTGGGTGAGACGAGGTGATTAGAGGCAATAGAGAGACAGCAGACGGTTGTGGGACGGGGTTGCGGCTCACGAAGCTCTGAGTCTGGGGTGTTGTCCTGCCATCGCCAGGAGGATTTCCAAAAAATTCCATGTGAGCGGCGGAACTTCTGTTGATCCGGAGGACTGATAGCTTATCTGTGGGGCCTTATCGGGTATTCTGCCACCGCCTTGTCGAAATCTTTTTGCCAGCTGGGCGGTAAGAGGGCGATCAAGGATGGATCAATTTATCTACAGCACACACGTACGTACAGTACATAATAGTTAATAGTTAAGAAGCACCACAAAGGACGTCTCACTTTCCGTCAAGCTTGAACCACCGTTCATTCCGCTCGTTGCCCACATAATATGACAAGCACGCATGAATTTGATCTTCGGGTATAGTCACAGACACCCCACGCGGCGCCGGAGTGTTATTTGCAGGTTCGCTGGTGAATCCCTCCGTATCCCCGCTCGGCGGCGCCGAACCGGCCACAGACTCAATTTTCATTATCTCGGTAGCGATACGAGCCCCTAGATTCGAGTCCCATGGTCCTTCACGGTGCGGCCAGGACCGTAGTGCCTCGATCGCCCGTTCGCGGACTCTATAATCCCGACATCCGGTGGCTACGAGGAAGAGTGGCGGAATGATGCCCATGTCCATGCAGACACTAGGTCGTTCAGGGAACTTGTCCGTCACTTCTCCAACGCAAGCCAGAAGACGCTCGAATCTAGGAGTATAAGTGTCCAGCAGGGGATCGTTGCTTTCTAGAAGACAGATCTCCAGATGCAAAGACGCCGCGGTCTGATGGAGGTGAATGACGTCTGCACCGCGTTGCTCTTTCGCGCTCAGCTTGTAATATCTTGTAGCACGGAAGTGGTCGAAGGTTCGGGCGAACTCGCTCACTGCCGCGCAGCGTCTGCTCTGCTCCTGATGGAGAGACTCGTACTGCATCGCAAGCTGTTCATGCGACAGGGCCTCTGTGGAGGTTGTAAACTTGAAAACCGGTTCAAGGATGTGGTCGAGTGCTTCCCGCGCATCAGATATGTTGCGGAAAGTGGGTGTCCCGTGTGCCTGCGACGTTGTGATCTCCAGAATAGGATTTCCTCCCACGAGTGAACTTGTCTCCCCAAACTGCGCAGACTGAATGTCCAAGTGGGCGAAAGCAGCGACCAGGGCTCGCTCTACCGGGGGCCCACGCACACGCGACTCATCTGTCATCTTCACGCCAACCTCTTTGAGCATTTGGACTCCACTCCGAAGATGCCCGAAAGCCTTGTCATACTGGCCCCGCAGCCATTCCAAGAGCACAAAGACCAGGCAGCATAGCAAGGTGACTTCCCGCAGCCGAGGATCGTGAGATGCGCGGCGAGTATGGAGAAGCGAGAACGAGCGCATTGACTGCTCCAAGGCAAACCGATGCCAAGTGTTCCCCAGGTCCTCCTTGGACAGCGGCATCCCTTGCCTTTCCGAGTCTTGATGGAACGCACTCAGAGCAACAATAGCGTGATAGACCGCGGGTTCCTCGTGCCCCAACTGGAGGATTAATTGCTGCCACAGGGCAGAGTCGAAGAAACCCACCATGGCGGGCATGGTGCGAAGGTGGAAGAACGAGAAGCATCGTCGTTCCTCTCGGTTCATCGTCCGATGCACTCCTCCAACCAGGCCTGTCACAATCTGGAATTTGGCTTGAGGTGGCGTATTGGTCTTGCTTGCACGGGGTAAACGATGTTGGTCATACCCATCGCAACGCCGACCGGTAGATGTGCAGTTGTTACACGCCCCGGGTGCTTCGTCGCATTTCTTGTGACGGACTCTATCGGTGGTATATGAGAAGATGAGTTGCATACTGCGTGTGGGAGGTATATTCACCGACAAGTGCGACAGCCTGTGACTGATCTCTTACCTCCAGCTCTTCGTCGTGGCACGAGAGTGGTTTGGCCCTGGCCGGAGGTACTACTAGTCTCACTCATATGAAGCAGAGTAGACTGGCCAGCGGAGATAAGAACAAGGATAATTAATGGCGGCAGCCTAGGCCTGCGAGGGAGAAATGGGAATTTAAAGGTTTGGTGGAGTTCAGCCTTCTTAGCGCGGATGCTGCATTAGTGAACTTACTAACGCACCGAATTGCTGCAGAAACCAAGCTTGCCCGCGAGCAGCCTAGAGCATAGAAGAAGCACAAAAGTATTTATTCTAAGCGATTTCGAAGCAATCACCACATTGCTTTGAAAATGAATGCTGGACAACACAGCTGATGTTCAAGAAGCTTGTCTAAGCTTACTAGCCCTAGTCATATATGTGGGCAATTTTATGAGGAACATGTTCGTTGGATTCTTGGTGATCAGGTTATCTGAGGTAAGGTAGTCAGTCATATGCAAAGCAGCCGAGTAATTAACTGTGTTGCATGAAAAGAAACGCAAATGCCCAAATGTGTTCTTCAGCTGACTACTTAGGTACTCTCGGGATCTGACGAATTGGGCCACTTGCCACGGCACCTCCTTGCCTTGCTCGACTGCATCTCATATCTTCCACCGGGTCTCAAAATTGCCATCCACCGCAACCTTCATCGTCAACTCCATCTTTCATAATCTGTTGATCTAAAGTTTTGCTTTGTCGTCAATGATACCATCGTCAATCAGCATAGCGCTGGTAGCATAGCAATCCGCATCCTGCTGCAGAACGATTGTGGCAGGAAGCGAAGCTGCGACTAAGACCGCGACATTGAAGAGTGAGGGGAGATAGTTGGAAAAAGCAAGGAGTTTCTGGGATGTAGTGGCATTCGGTCTAAATTGTGCTCTGATAGCGTCGAACCGATATCCGGCGCTCATCCGGCACGGAAAGCTGTAGCCTTGATCCGATCCGGGGTAAGATTGACAGGCAAGCACGAAGCCAGTGCGAAGCCACCAGTACCGTGTGGTAGACTTATAAGGTTGATGCACATACCCCAGACCCAGGACCCAAGCTCCTCGTTCGAACGTCTCTACTCGATTTTCCACTCCCTGCAATTCCCCTTCCAATCGGCACTGAAATACTAATACTCTGCAGGAGAGGAGAACATATTTCCTATTGAGATTGAGGAGCGACTGTTGGCCCATCCCACCATCAGTGAGGCCAGTGTGGTGGGCATCAAGAATCAGCGGTATGGGGAAGTCGTGGGCTGTTTCTTAAAGGCTCCGGGAAAGACGCCAGCTGGGGACGATGAAATCCGGCAGTTTGTAGGCCAGGTCCTGGGACGTCACAAGGCACCCACTCACATTTTCTGGCTGGGCGACGAAGGCGTTGGGGAGGATTTTCCCCAAACAGGCAGTGGGAAGCACAAGTGGAGAAGCACTTACTGCGCGAGATTGGAAATAGGCTGGTTGAGGGGTCTGCTGTGCGGGCAAAACTGTAGAGAATGAATCACGGACCGCCATGTCTTTCTTGTTGTTTGCCAGTCACCATCTGAACTTACGCCCACTGCTACCTCCCCTGCCCACGTAGAAGACATGTCTCCCAGATCCACTTGGGAACGCAATTACCTAATAGCCAAGCAGCTTGGCTCTAATCCGTCATGGACACTTCCAATACAAGTGTTTGATGCAGGGATTCGCCTCGGTCCGCGCAGTCGGAACCCGGGGAACTCAACGGAAAGCAGTCCGGTCGACCACAAAGGATGGTGAAGATAAGCTGCATTGCGGGGGATTTGCTGTCCCTATGAACAACCATTGTGTATTTGTCCTTAGCCTATCGGTGGGAAAATGCCGAGCACCCTGTAACCCGCAGTGAGGATGGTTGAGGTTGGACCCCCTGAAGGGGCCTACCTCGATCAAGCTGGAATTGTATCCGCACGGTCGACCAAGGGCTGGCGCTTACGGGGTGAGTGAGTGCCAAGCGCGTCGGAAGGTAGTAGACTGGGACCTATACACTCAGCAAGCCAGCACCAAGGCGAAGATTTGAACCTTTCTTCAGGGTTAAAGTGCTTTGAACGAGTATGGTGGAATCCGTTTGGGTGTTAGGATTTGACGTATGGTTATGATCTGCAGCTATGGAATGGAACGGACCCCGGTAGTATTTTATCTTCGTGGTTCAACTTGAGCCATGAAAGTGTGCCATGCAGCTGAGAAAATAGAGCATGATAGAAAATAGGGTCGAAGACTTTCTAGCAAGATCCGAGTTTCATGGACAAGTACGGTGCAGTTCTCAGGTGCGATGATGGACCGGTAAAGCCATCTCTTCAGAGCCTGGTCTGACAATCGGGTTGGAAAGACCGCTCAAACGCTATACAATGTTTTGAGTATACGCAACACCACTGACTGATAGAACGATGACTCTCAAGACACACAGTCACGCAGGAGATCCGATCAACGATGCTCTTTAACATACACTACAGGACACCCATCCACCTTGACCTCGCTTTCGGCGTTTTCTTCCAGTCGAACATTTCCTCACAATTCGGTCTTTTCTGCGACTCTCACCGGCACTCGCACCATCCACTGCAGAAGCTCATAGGCAATCTGTGTGATAGTGAGGGCAGTGGTTTCCGCTGCGTTGTCATAAACAGGAGAAAACTCGACCACATCTGCTCCGATGATCGGGAGGTTTGCCTTGGACAGCCTGTTCAGAATCTCAAGAAGTTCCCGGGTGGTCCAGCCACCGGGTTCGATTGTGCCGGTGGCGGGGGCAAATGCTAAGAATCACCACTTGGGTTAATAGTAATCACACCAGGATCCGCTAGGTCTGCACATACCAGGGTCGAGACTATCAATGTCGATGCTGACATAGACCAGGCTGGCACCGACCGTGTCCAAAACCTGTTTCACAATCCCATCAATACCGATTTGGTCAATCTGCCGGGCTCGAATGGCCGTAAAGCCACACCGAGCATCGTTGTCGAGGTCATAGTGTTCATCCATCAACATCGATCGGGATCCGAGGTGCATGTTGCCCGTCTCAACCAGTAGTCCTTCTTCGTGGGCGATATGAAGCATGCTACCGTGCGTGACCTCCGAGTATCTGGTCAGGCCCCCGCCCAACTGTTTAGGGTCCCATGTATCCAGGTGGGAGTCGAAGTGGAGAATCGCCACTTTACCCCAGGTGGGATGCAGGGCTCGCAGCGCGGGCAGTGCTGGATCGCGCGGGGTTAGGAAGGATTATCTCACTTTCGATGGGATCATGCCAAACGCAACTTACTGATGGTATGATCTCCGCCAAATGAGAGGAGTCTCACATGGTCTGCCTTCTGCGAGTTCAAAGGCTTCCGGGATCCAATTGACTTCCAACCGGCCTCGAGTTGCTGGAGCGCCTCAAGCTTGTCGAATGGGGTATTGGCGATATCACCACAGTCTACCACAGAGGCCCAACTGCGAAAGGGGTTGGTCCCATGATCCATACTTTGGCAACGTTAGCAGTCATATCTACACCGAGTCATCCCTCATTGGGGGGTGAATACCATACCTGTAGGCAAAGCCGGGCTCCAACCGCTGTGATCCGGATCGGACTGCCGATGGCCCGAAGCGCTCACCCGGGCGATATGTCACGCCCAAGTCGAAAGGGGCCCCGACAATTCCAATGTCAAATGTTGCATCCGTGGCGGGATCAAAGCAGTTGGTCCAGTTGAGGTGCGCAAAGGTTGCAATCCCACTGTACGGCGTGCTGAAATCATTCAGGGCGTGAAATTCGTCCTGGACGTTCAGAGGCCTCGCTGTGCGAGACTTGCCAAAGATGCTGTTTTGGAGGAACAGCGAAGACGAAGAAGCATCCTTCAAGGGTTCCTGGGCCAGCTCGTGCGGGACCACAAGGGAGGACGTTAGCGGCAGCAATCCTAGCCAGGCGGCGACGGCCATTCCCCTGAGACTCATCGTCGGGTCGTGCAGCTTTTATACGCGTCAGGTGGATTTTTTCTTTGCGGAAGAGTGCAGTAGGCGTAGGGCTAGCGGGCTGACGAACTCATGGGATGGAAAGAGAATAAAGTGGTGAATCGAGGGAAAGTGCCGAAGGCGGTTGCTTTCATTTGAGCGTGTACTCCTTACTAGGTACTAGTTAGGTACTAATTAGGGACTGTAATTGACCTTCCGACTTTCTGCACTGTCTCTGAGGTGCCGCCTTCATCCGTCAATTTAGTTTTGCGGCTCAAGGCGAGGCGACGCGTCACTAACTGTTGCGGCATTCGAGCCAAAAAAGGGAACAGTTAACGCAGTCACTGGCACCTTAGTCCAGGCTCCGGCAAAGGTTAGGGGTTCGCCCAACCACGGGTTTGGCTTTTAACCTAACGTTAACATTAACTTGACTAACTAGTCAACTTAAGTTAGTTAACGTTAACTTACTCGTCATGACGTCAACCCCGAAAAATCCCGCCTCCAATTCAGAATGCACTGGTTGTACGCAACTTAACAGATTCACTCGCGCATGAGTCAGCATCCCCCCCGCCAAAAGAATGCCCCATGTATCAACTCAAAGCGAGCTGAGGCGAGGGTTCAGTGCAATGGATGCCTCTGCCGTTATTTATCCGCAGCCCCGCCACGAATCAGGCTCTGTACGGAGTGACCTATTGAGACGAGGTGACTCGAAGACCTCTAAGCCGGCCTGGACGCTTTGTGAGACAGGTCCAAATTCAACATACCTTTCAGCCGGCTCGGCACTTTCGTACTTGGTGATTGATGCTCTAGATTGAGAAGTTGCGTACAAATCTGGAGGCCTGATAATTAAGACGGTAATCAAAATCTACCCAAGTTGGCTGTTGTACTGTACTACTTTGGCCTAATGGAGGAAAGACAATCCACGGTGTAGACCCCGGGAGATAAACGATCTGTCACGGCAAACCAATTGTCACCAGGTGAAGCAGCATGAAACCTCACAGTACATAAGGCTTTGGCCGATGAGATTACTGTATCTGCCTTATCGTTTACCAGGCACTCTCTTCCCGATCCCATCAAACGCTTAGCGGTTCAAGGCGAAATAAGCGTTGGCCTACTGGTTGAAAATGCAAGTAACTACGAGCAAATCACCCCGCTCGCCCCGCAAATTTTGGCTGCATATCCACTTAGCCGCTTGTGCCGATGGAGCGAGACGACACTACGTAGTGAAGGAAGACAGATAAGGATAAGCGAGCAATCCTTAACCGTTATTATGTCCTCATGCAGAGACGCTGGAATCATATTTGCCGGGATCACATGTCCCTTGCCACTGTAGATTCGGCGAGGCTTCTATATAGAACGTATCCTGCATATTCACGAAACATGCTGCCTGAGAAAGGGCGTGCTACTTGATCGTGTCCTGCCCTAATTTTCCTCGTTTGTATTGTTTCCTCTTTCAGTCTTTGCTCGCAAGCTTTTAACTCCGCACTTGGTCCGTTTGGATTATAGCTCTTGGGGGGGGGAAAGCCCCTAGTTGCTCCTTCGTTCCAAACATGGAACCTTCGATGGCAGGAGAAATGGCCCTGGGCAGTGGTCCCCCTACTGCTGGATCCAGGATCCGGTCGGGAAGCATGTCCAAGGATCAAGCCCCAGACAGCAGTGGTGGTGAAGAGGCACAGGAGCTTTGTGCCATTCCATTGCTGACGAGGGACGGTCGGGTAGTTCACCCTCAGCCCACCAGGGATGCTCATGACCCCCTGAACTGGTCTCCCATGCGTAGGCGCATGATACTCGGCATTGTAATGTGGATGTATGCCTCTCTTTCCGCCAGCGACGAAGGCCTTCTTTCCTGGGCCCGCCGACTGCCGACACTGCCGTCAAGGTACTTCTTGTTCGCGTATCTCAACACAAGCCCAATCCCTTTGTACTCGCAGACGGAGCAACGATTTGGCGTGGGGTATCAGGAGACAAGCTGGAGTGTAGCACTTCCCTCGGTGGGGTTTGCCTTGGGACCGCTTCTGCTGTGTCCGATTGCCGACATTTATGGTCGGCGCATTGTGTTCATTGGAGGCTCGTTGGTGGCTCTCGTGGCCACCATCGGCCTCGCGACAACCACCAGTTTTGAGGGCTACCTGGTAGCCCGGGTGTTTCAAGGGATTGGGGTGAGCCCATCTTCGGCAACGGGCCTAGCAATCAGTAAGAGACACACAAGTCCATTCCATTCTCGACCGAGTGTCTGGGCTGACCGGTCTTAGTCGGGGACTTATTCTTTGATTACGAGCGCGGTCAAAAGATGGGACTGTGGGTACTGGCCATAGATACTGGGTTTCTCATGGGCGCCATGTGTAAGGCCTCGCGCGCTGGCTTTTCCAATAACGGCGCCACGAAAGCTAACTAACGTTCCCCACAGTTAGGGGGATCATTGACCTCGCCGGCGAGAAATGGGTGTACTGGCTGAATGCCATCTTGCTGGGCATTCTCTTCCTGTTGGTGCTTCTCTGTCTCCCCGAGACGCTCTATCCCCGCCACCTGATGCTGCACCAACTGCCCATGATTTGTGAGGGTACCGGACAGTCCGGTGCGAGAAGCCAGAAGAATGAGCCTGGTCCTTCCCCTCCTGTCCTGCCCGTCGAGCTCCGCCGAACCAGAGACCTTCCTTTCTTCAACCTCACGCCGGTCCCAGGAATCCGTCATCTCAGACCATGGGAGACGCTGGTCCGGTTCGCCATTATCTTTCGAGTGGCGGCCTTCACTATCCCATTGTTCAGCTTCTGCCTGCTAGTCTACTGGTGGAATCCCGCCGCCCTCACCATGATCCCGGCTGCATATCCCGAATATCCACCCGTGATCCAGGGGCTGTTCTTCACCGGCTTCCTGGTCGGAATGATCTTCGCCGAGACTTTCTGCTCGGGCCGACTCAGCGACCACATTTGTGCCAAGCTGATGGCCAAGAACGACAATGTTCACGTGGCCAAGAACGACAATGTTCACGTGGCCGAGATGCGCCTATGGCTGGTGTATCCATCCTGCTTGTTAGCTTCCGGTGCGTGATGCGGCGAGCGAACGGCTATCGATCACCTGGCTAATGTTTCTGTTCAGGAGGACTTTGTCTCTGGGGGATCAGTGTAGATCGAGGATATCACTGGATGGTGGGTCAAGTCGCCTTCTTCTTATGTCAGTATTCTCCCTTACCCCCACCACCCCTTTCCCAGCTGAAGACAACTGACCGGATCTACGTGGCGCGGTTGCATAGTTGCCGTGGGCTTCCAGACGAGCAGCACGGTGCTGGTTGCCTATCTGGTCGATTCTTATCCCCTGCAGTCGACTGCTGTCATCATCTCCTACTCGGTGGTGCTGAACATATCGGAATTTGCGAGCCCTGTACGTCTCCAACCCCGCATCCTGGATCTCTGGATCTGGACCGTTTTCTCTTTCGTGTCCAGGCAAAGTATCGACTGCTAACCGGAGAACTGAAACGCGCGTCGTAGTTCTTTCTGCCAACGTGGGAAGCGGCCCAGGGTTGGACGTGGACCTATGCGACTCAGGCGCTGATCGTGAGCGTTGCCGCACTGCCGGTATTCTGTTTGACCCATATCTACGGTCCGTGGCTTCGATCGAAATCCTACCAGCCGTACTGGGTGAATGTGGAGTTGGATACCACCGGGGTCCCGACTTAGCGAGCCTCGAATTTGGGCATCGTCGTGTTCAACCCGACATGTCTTGCATATGTATACGAATATACGAAGCATTTGAAGAACAAAAATTCCACCAGAACTAAGAAACAAACCCCTACGCGTAGCAATGGAGTACTTGGCGTGTCATGTCTGTCTTTCTTTCCGTCTTTGGTCACTATTACCGCCCCGAGCCCGTTCTGCCGGCCAGGCCGAGAAAGAGAAGAACGCGAATTATGAAGGAGCTGAGGGGAGTATCCCAAACCCGAAAGGGCATATACGGATGATTGAGGAGGGACCCCTTACAGCTCGAGGGTGACTCTTTTCAGGGTGTCACTCGCACTCCGCAGCACCCGCTTGCCGGTTGCGGTAGAACCGGTGAAGCTGATCTTGTCAAGGTCTGGGTGGCTGGTCATCCATGGACCCAGACTGTCGTCGCCGCTAAGAGACTGCACCACTCCCGGAGGGATGAAAGACTGGGCCAACTCCACAACCTTGAGACCCCCATACGGGGTGAAAGGCCTGTTGAGCAGAACAAGCAGCGTCAGCAGTCAAGGTCGAGGTCGGTGATCCCCCCCCGGGATTCAGAACTCACAAGGGTTTCACTATGATCACGTTTCCCGTCAGGAGCGCGGGGGCGATCTTGCCCGTGGCAAGCATCATTGGGAAATTCCAGGGCACGATGGCGCCGACCACGCCCAGAGGAACATATCGAGTAATCACCGTGTGAGAATCATCGTCGTGGGCGACCTCCTCGGGAAGCTGCAGGTCGGCCATCCCCCGCATCCAAGAGATGGTGTTGTCCATCTCGGCGGTCGCTTGTGGGATCTATCCAAGCGAAAGAAGGTAGCCATCGAGCAGCAGGGAGAAAGTGACGGGGAGGACTTACCGGCTTTCCTTGCTCCAAAGTCAGCAGTTCTCGAAACCCAGTGTAGTTCTCTTCGATTGCATCGGCAAAGGCCAGCACGGCTCTCCGTCGCTGTTCGTAAGGAGTCGCCGACCAGCCTCTGAATGCGGCCTTAGCACACTGCACTGCCCGATCGAGATTGGCTTTCGGTGGCCACTGGAACCTCCGGTAGTGCCTGACCATTAGCAGGGTTCAAGCCGTGCCGGGTTGTGGCTGTGGGAGCGCTTTGGCCATTGACAATTTGCACATAAGAGGATTTCAGATCAATGTTGGTTGCCATGTTGGATACGGCCGCGAAACGGAATCGGTGGTTACGAGGATTGAACACAGGAAGGGGATCTGGCTCTTCTACTCCCTGTCAGCAAGACAGCGGCGGCCGGGGGAAAAATATAAATAGATGCGTAAAGATGTGTATCTAGAGATCCAGATTGCCACAGATTATCGTTGGAAGACTGATTATCAATTTAGGGTTAAATTCCCGACGCGCAATGGGAGCCATGTTTCGCCAGCAATCGCCAATTCGAATGATTTTGGCGCTCCTTGACCCCTCTTCCCCAGCCCACGTTCCACCAACCCCAAGGAGTGCCACCATCGGACCGAGGCCATCGGAAGAAATCACTCCGGGGACGAAACTTCCCCAGTTGTGGTTGCATTCAGCTGGTTGGCGGCAGATCTGCCTTCCAGAGGGGCTATTATTGTATTTACCCCGCGCGCGGGTGTAATCGTTACCCCGCATAACTTACTCGATGGTCGCTCTTCCTACTACCACTACGCCGTGAGTCCAAGTCCCTAGTAAGTACTAACCTATGACCTCAGATAAACAGTGCGTTTAGCTCGGATTGGGGATTTTATCCGCACACCCGTCTTCCCGTTCTGCATTCATGGATCGGTGCCATTGACCCCGGTTACGAGGCCAGCACTGGGGCACCGCACCGATGGATTCTCATAACAGTACGCAGACTGAGGCTCTCCTCTCTCCTAAGTTGTCTAAGGTATGAGAAATCAATTCCGGGGGGGGGAGGGAATGAGAGCATTACGCACCTTGACTGTTTCGACCAGTCTTGAGCTCCAGCCACCGCTGCTCGATGATGTCGATCAAACACCCGACGTTGGAGAAACAGTATCCGCTCTTCAATTTCCGGAGACGCCGATGAACAAAGTCTTTATATACTGGTCGCGTGGTCCGGGCTCCGGCACTATACAGGGGCAGGAGCATCAGTTTGGCAACGCGTGAATCTTCCGGCACTGCAGCGCATGCATCAAGCACCTGGGCGATGGTTGATTGTACTAAGGTGGACTGAGGGCTCTCCCGCTTGATCTCGAGGAAGAATAGAAGGGCAGCAGTGTGAATCAAGGCTTCATTGTACTGGTCGAGATGGGACGAGATCTCTTCTCCATCCTGCTTGTATTTCGTCAATTTCCGCAGCATCACCTGCAAGCGAACCTCCACATCGATGGCGTCGGTCCTGACCGTGTCCAGGGTGGCGGAACCCCTCCGAGAACGGATCAAACGACCCAGGCGGTAGAGAAGATCCCCCACCGTATGGGAGATACCGAGGAACGGATCCACGTCGGAGAAGATGGCGTCGGGGTGGGAGGGGTCAGGGCCATGGTCCTCTTGGGCCGCGATGCCAAAGTAATTCGGCGCATCGATGGAGTAGTCCGTCTCATCCAGCATGGCCACAATATGGATGTAGCCCAGCCAGCGGACGAGAAAGAGGAACGATTCATCGGTCGCCAGACTCGTCGTAAACCCTTTCTCCGCAATATACGTCGCATGCTGCAGGTAGGATCAAAGCTTGAGAACGTTTCCCTGGGCAATGTAGGCCGAACACAGGGCGATCAGGATGGTCAGAGTCGTGAGCCAATGCGACGGGCTTCTGGGTACGGCCTGCAACTGCTGGGACATCGCCTCGCGGACGTAGGCCACCGCCTCTTGCTCCATCATCACGGCGACCGCGGCCATGACGGTGGGATCCACATGCGGCGTGGCTTCCGTGATCCAGTTGACGCGAACGGCGTGGGATAGAAAGATAATGGCGGAGAACAGTAACGGTTCGCCAGCCACTCGCGAGGTGAAATAGAGGGTCAGTTTGTTCTGATTCCCTTCCTCCTCGAGACTGATCCCCGGCGCGATCGACTGCACAAATTCCTGCCACAGGTACGACACCGGTCCAGGCGCTATGCACGGAGCTGGGGTAAGAGAGGAGCCGTGGAGGGCCGGGTACAGCTCCGCATGTGAGGGGGGGACTGGGGCTGGGGAAAGAGGGGAGCCGCGGGACATGGACCCATGATGGGTCATGGTATCCAGGTCGGCCAGGAAGAGCTCGTCGATGGCGGGGTAGGGGGATGGGACACTAGTTTCTCCAAGGTCGAAATCGGCAAAGGCAGTGGTAGGGGGGGGGATCGAAGTTCCATCGTCAGGGAGCGGAGGGGAGGTCTGTGGAGGGGCATGGACTATCACGTCCGCTGCTGCTGAGAGCGGCCCCTCCGACCCTTCCCCCCCTTCCCCCTCCGACAGGGTAGCGCGCTGAGATTGCAGCAGTCGCTGCCTGGTGGAATCGATGCTTTCCACCCGCCACCGTGCTGTGATGGAGGGAACACAAACGGTGTTATGCTTGCGGCATCGGGAACATGCACGCGACTTGGCCCGGTCGCACTTGAAAGGTACTAGGGTCAGTGGGTTATCACGGATGAGAGAGGGCAAGGGCAAAGAAAGTAGGGCTTGAGGGCTCTGGCTGACCTTGCGCTTGGAGGCTTTGCAATTGGCACAGGGCGCACGGTTTCTGAGCAATGCATGAGGTTCGGGGGCCAACATGGACGGATCTTCACTTGCACGCACAGGCGGGTCTGTAGTCAGTAGTGCGTTAGGGGGGGGATGGACGGTGGGAAAGAGAGCAAAGGTAAGAAAAGTACATATGTAGAAAGAATAAGCGCGGAAAGAGTGGTGGTGCGGTGGCGCGGTGGCGCTTATCAGTCCCCTATAGGAGAGGCGGAACGCATACCTAGTAAGGAGGTATCCACGGTACCTACCTAGGTAGTGTTAATACAATCAATACAATCAATACAGTACCCTCCACCCCTCCACCAATACTTCGCCCACCCAGTCGATAAGCTATCATTAGAATACGTAGTTTTCAAACACCTTAGAATATATAAGCTACTTTCAATATTTTGTAGAGATTAGAATCTATAAGTTCATAGTCATAAGATTGCCTTGAACTTGATCTCCACCGGATGACTGCGAGGACGCTCTCACTTATAACTATCACTTATGGTATTTCGGCACCGCCCTATCCCTATCCCTCACCGTAAAATTACACCGAACCAGGGTTCAGGCGTTACAGCACGTAAGTAGTAGTCGTGACCTCGAGATGCCTGCCCCCGCCTAATTATATATACATCTTCGTTACCTGCCGATCCGGACCATTAAAAAAAACTTGGGATAGGAGCCTCTCTCGCATGATGCATTCGACTTTCGACGAACGATCGCCTCTTCTCGCTAGGGCGGAGACGGCGACGTGGTGGTCTCCGCCCCGCCCCGAAGCCATTCGAGCGTTCCTCTCAGAAGGATGTCTTCTGGCTCGCAATTCGTTCCCTGTGGTGGTGACCTATGGGTTACAGAACAGTCTGCAGACGGGGTCGCTGCTGGTAGTCGGTCGCTTGTCCCCGGAAACCCTGGCAGCGGCTGCATTTGCCTTCATGTTCGCCACTGCTACCGCCTGGCTCATAGCCCTTGGAGGAACCACCGCCCTCGATACTCTAGCCTCAACCGCATTCACCGGCAGCACCAACAAATCCCAGCTCGGCATATATCTGCAGCGAGCCTTTGTGGTCCTGGGACTGCTCTATCTTCCTGTCACGGTACTTTGGTGCTGGTCGGAACATCTCTTCCTCGCCCTGCGACAAGAGCCCCAGCTAGCGAAAGATGCCGCCCACTTTCTTATCTACCTCATTCCGGGTGGGTTGGGTTATATCTACTTCGAGGCCCTGAAAAAGTATTTGCAAGCGCAGGGTAAGAGCCCCGACCCCTCCTGTGCCCATGTCCCGGGCTTCCTTTGCTTGAGTAGGGCCAATGAGTACGGGACTAACTGTATGATCCCCAGGCATCAATTCCCCAAGCACTTATGTCCTTCTGCTGGTAGCGCCCATCAACATTGGTCTCAACTATCTTCTCTGTAATATCTGGGGGTTCGGGCTGCTGGGGGCCCCTGTCGCGACCGGATTATGTTACTGGCTATGCTTCGGCCTACTAGCTCTGTACACGGCATTGGTTGCAGGCCATGAATGCTGGGGGGGCCTATCCAGGGAGGCTTTCCAGAACATGGGGATATTCGTCCGGCTGACCGTGCTGGGGATTCTGCATGTTGGCGCGGAATGGATGGCATTTGAGATTGTCGCGGTCGCAGCCGGCTGGCTGGGGTCGACATCCATGGCAGCCCAGAGTGTGATCATGACCTCAGATCAGATCCTCAACACCATTCCTTTTGGTATTGGGGTGGCGGCGTCGAATCGAGTGGGCAACCGTCTCGGGGCCCGCGACGCCAAGGGGGCCGCGCGCTCGGCCCATGCGGCCACCGCATTATGTGTCATCGTGGGCGCCCTCGTCCTTGTTGTCCTGACCTTGACCCGGTACCAGTTTGCCAAGATTTTCACCGATGATCCCGCGGTCATCAAGTTGACCGGGGATGTCATGCCATATGTGGCCGCCTTCCAAATCGCGGATGGGTTGAATGCCAGCTGTGGCGGGACTCTGCGAGGCATCGGCAAACAGCATCTCGGCGCCGCAATCAACATTTTTACGTATTACGCGGCAGCTTTGCCCCTGGGCATCTGGCTTTCCAGGCATGGTCATGGATTGGCGGGTCTCTGGGTTGGCCAATGTCTGGCTCTCTATACCGTGGGCCTCCTGGAATATGCGCTTGTCGCCGCGACCAAGTGGGATCAGGAGGTCCTGAAAGCATTTGACAGGATGGATCACGGAATCGAAGAGACCGAGCACACACAAGCATAGTGTCGAGCGTACTAGAGGGCAGGATTATCCATAGATGACATATGTCATCAACCCTAGGGTCGCATGAGGAGGTCCGCCTTTGCTTCCCGTCACAAGTAGAGCAGACAAGCCCAGCAAAACACGGCAAGCGTCTGCATCCCCGTTCTTTATCTGACTGAAACCCAGCGGCCAGAAGCACGGGGGGCGCAGAGTCGTGTACTGGCCACGTCCTCCCAAAAGTGACGGTATGATATTAGCTGGCACAGGCCCGAGCCTTCGCTAGCCTCCGCCGCATAGATCCCACCCTACCATCACTGTCACCAATTTCCACAATTAGTTCTGTCAGAGGTTATGATTATGTTTCTATGGTACCTGATAGTGAATGATATATGAACTGTTATAGACAATACACCGAAGGACCTGCTTTATACCTTACTCACAGGAGCCCGTAGCTTTGAACTTTTCTCCGTCTGACCCCGTCAGATCACGGACAATCATGATATGTCTAGCTTGCCTTTGTGTTCTGCTTCGGGAATAGGAGAGATAAACTCGAAATTTAATTGTTAGCTCTTAAGGAGCATGCCTTATCTCTCTCTCTCTCTCTCTCGCGCGCGGACCATACACCCGGTTTTGGAGCAGACAGCTGAAAAGAGGTAGACTAAATCGACTTATGCACTTTAGAACAGTGTTGTTATTGAATGTCAAATGGAACTGCTACAATCACAAGTGAGCACGATCAACGAAAATCTTGTTCGGAACCTTTGTTTTCCACCTTTTGTTTCGCCTTACATTTCCGGAATAACGCCCTTCATCGGAGGGCCAGTCTCCATCTCTTCATGAGCATCTAGCTCATTGAGCGCCTCTTTGATAATGGCAATTCCTCGGCGGAGTTCCTCCTCGGGGATGTTGAGCGCCACCCCCAACCGGATTCGATCCCCGTCAGGGTATGTCAAAACCCCTTTATCAAGGCACAGCATGCCGAGTCTCCGGGTGGTGAGTCGAAGATTTCCGGTGCGCCTCAGATACAAACCTAGATCAGCCCCTCTGTGAGTCGTGTAGTCCAGCCAAGGCATACTCCAGTCGGCCGTCTCTTTCTCCCAGACCTCGCCAATCCACCGGGCACGCTCCATCAGGCTCTCATCATCCACGATCTTGAGCATCGCGCGGGTCGCAGCAATGGCTGCTGGGGCCATCCCGAACGTCGCGACCGATTCGTATCCGCCCACCAAGTCCATCACCTCGTTGTTGCCTAGGATATACGACGCCGGGTAGGCACCCCCGGTGATCGACTTGCCCATGACCACCATGTCGGGCTTGTTTTCGGGTCCCATCCAGTCGGAACAGAGGAACTTGCCGGTCTTGGCCGACCCCATGCGCACTTCGTCGGCAATGAACAGAACGTTGTATTTTTTACAGAGTTGCCGGACGCCGATCGCGAGGTCCAGCTCCTCTTTGAAGGTGCTGTGAAGGCTCATGTCAGCACCACAGTAAGACACTCGGATGCCTTCCAGCGGCACTTGGAACCCGTCCTCGGCAGGCAGGCACTTACGCTTTTTTCCCATGAATAGTCTCCATAATGACCGCGGCCGTGCGAGTGTGGTTGGCCATGAATGCCGCTTCAAAGTCCGGGAGGAAACAGTAGGTCAATGGCGCGCCAGTCGCGGGGTTGCTGTTGCGGAGGTTGTGGTTGCTGACGCCGTAGTCTGCTCCGAGAACACGTCAGAGGAAGAGTCTTTTCCGTCACAAGCCAGGACCCATAAGAGACTGCACAGGAAGGGAGGGGGGAGGGAAGTCATACCCGAAGCTTGACCCATGTTGTTCATGATGGGCCAGATGCCCGACCCGGTCCCGTGGTAATTGTCTGCCACACCAAAGACAAGGACGTCTTGCGGGGGAATTTTCTTGACCTTGATGCCCCATTTGCGAGCAAACTTCACTGCAGAGTCTGCGCCTTCGGTGCCAGAGACCATGCCGACCATTTTATCATATCCGAATCGCTGACACATGTCTCGCGTAAATTCGGCCCAATCGCCCACCTTAGTGGCGATGTTCGTCAGGGTGACTGATACACGCACACACACACACCAAATGAGCCTGCTGTGCCTTGCCTCAAGGATCGATTGGGGAACAGGAGATATACATACTGGTCTGCATCGAGTCACTGACAGCCTTCAGAAGCTGCGGTTGGCACTGGCCGAGGTTGGTTGCGCTCAGCATGCAGATGAAATCAATGATCTCCTTTCCGTCGACATCCTGGAAGTGCGTCGATTTAGCATTGGCTTCCCAATCCCCCGGGCCTCCACGGCAGCTTACCTTGAGTATCGATCCTTTGCCCGACTTGATGAAGACGGGAAGGGGAAACACTCCGCCCGCCGAGTGTTGAGCATCAATATCAAGCAGCCGCTTTGTCTCGGGAGACAGTCGCACGGGTCGAATCTGGGAGACAGTCATGGCCAGGAATCGTCGATCGGTCTAGACTGACTGATAGGTTAAAGAGATAGAAAGGGAAAGGATTGATGCGAAAAAGACCTTGAGGCAAAGGACGGCGAAAAGAAGCAAAACAACAGACTCCTCATGCAATAGATATAAGTTATCAAGTTACCAGCTCCCGCGCTGCCTACACCTCGGGCTCAGGAAACCCTACCCCACGTTGGATGCATCGCCGCCCCTGATTGCAGACGACTCCTGCGGACCGGACTTGAGGGGAATGGTTCCGCTCCCACGTCGGTCAACGAGCACTGAACAGGTAAAGGTAACGAAAGTTAGGTGAGGCGGTAGTACTACCGTAGTAGGACAGATAGTACGCCTTGCGGCAGTGTAGCCGCATTCGGAGATGCGGGCCGCACCGTTCCGTAACCCTCCGGCTGTCAGTTCCTTGGTGTCACTACGCGCTTGGGGCGTTGTGGGTTGCTAGACTCTCGAGATGGTCCTCCCTGAATTGAAGAGATCAAATCATGATCACAATAAAACAACCTACATAGAATATACACAGCGTATACAGTATATCTATGGAGACGGTGTTATTCGATCTGCAATTGAGCCACCCCCACCCCCACCCCCTCTCCCTCCCCCTTTCCCCTTGGACAGTGGAATGTGACTGGTTCTGTGTGTCTAAATTGGTGTATTTGTACATGTGCACACACAGACACATGTGCCTTTGCCACCCAAAGGCCGAAAGAATGGGAAGGGATAACACAGACCTTGGAAGACCTTCAATTTCCCCGCATTCGAAGGCACCCTCGGGGTCTCTTTCGCTCCCCTCCCCCATGCCTTTCCTCCCAGCCCATTCTCGGTGGCATCAGTAGCAAATCTTTTCTTCTCAAAGAGCACAAGCACTTCTTTCTACCTACTACCGTTTCTGTATATTGAATCGCATCATTACCGTCCTTCTGGGATGGATCCTCTCACGGATCCCCAGCAGCGCAGTCTTATAAAGCTGTGGAGTGCCTGGCCTCCCATTGGCTGGGCAGCTCACCGCCTTCGGCCGGCAGTTAGATAGGTGTCTAGATAGCTTAAATCTATTTTTTTTTATACTTTTTTTAGATTATAAATCTTTTTCTTATTTAATATTTTTTCTTTTTTCAGAGCATTAACTCTATTAATATTTTATTAAGAAATCTTATATTTATTAAATTTATATTATTTATAATATCTTTTCTACTTCTTCTAATTCCTAGACTTTTATATATATTAAGCAGTACTACGGTTAGCCGATTAATAAGCAGAATATCTTTAATATATACTAAGAATACTAGATTAAAAAGCTGCTTCAAAAAGTAGAAATACTATTATCTAATATTATATATAATATAAATAAGAATATAAAGTTTTTTCTAATAAGCTATTAGACTTTCTATTAATACTATTAATATTTTCTATAAATAAATAAAAATAGAATATCTAATTATATATTATTGAAACAAGCCTTTATTTTTATTATATAAAAGATCTTATTAATAAAATCTTACTATAGTTAGTTCTAGACAAGAAATACTTTAATATATAAAAATAATAATTAATTTTAATTAATAAATAGTTTATAAACTTAATGTTAAAAAATATATTTAGAAAATATTTAAATTAGTTCTTAGAGCTTAAATATATAAATAAAATATTTACCGCTATTTATAGAATTATTTATATAAAAAATATATTCAGAAAACAGACTATAATTATTAGTCTTTTAATTATAAAGTCTTTATAATATATAAAACTATTATAATTTATTAATATATTTTAATATAAATATTCAGACGCTCGGGCTTTCAGCTGTAAGATAAATATTTATACTACTATTTTTTTATACTATTTGAAGAATAACTTCTTATTATAAATAATAATATATAAGAATAATATTAGTAAAAATAATAATAGTTCTTATAATAATACTAAATTCTTTAATTTAATTACTTATTTTACAAATATTACTAAAAAATAAAAAATAAATATAGATTATATAAATATAGTTCTATAAATATCTAAAAAAAATAATGAATTAAAAAATATAATCTTAGTGAATATATTAAAAAAAATAAAAAAATAATATTATATAGCTATTAAAAAAGCTAGTAGATAATTAATTTAATAATTTATTTATCTAGATTTAAAGATTATTTCTATATAAAAAAAATAATAAATATATTTTTTATAATAAATATATATATAATATTAATTTATATTTTTATTTTTATTTAAATATATATTTTTAAAAATAGAAACCGTAGATTTATATATAATATTATAAATCTTCTACTGTAGAAGAAAATCTTACAGCTGCTGTATATTTTTATTATACTAATATATTTATTAGTATAATTATTGCTGAGAAATCTAGTAAAAAAAACTATTTTATTATATAAATATAGGATTTTAGTTCTGGATATATATTAATACTAGATTTTAATTTTCTTATTAAATATAAGATATAAATATTTCAAAAAATATATTAATATATTAACTTCTCCAGCAGCTATAGTTAGACTAAAAAATACAAAAAATTAAGTTATATTTTAATATTAGAAACAGCAAAGCTGTTAAATTAATTATAAAAATAAAGTACAGCCCTAATATTTTATATAGTCTATTATTAATAAAAAAATATTTAATAATTATAATATTATTTAATATATTAAAAACTATAAAATTAAAGATTTTAATACCAGTTATATTATTAAATATATATAAAATAATAAAATATTTATTATTAAAATATATAATAATAATAAATTATTTAAATATCTTTAACTTACTACTATTAATTTATATTTTTTATATTATTACTTGGACTACACAGACAAGCCGAAATTAATTATTATAATAAAAAATATTAATAATAAAATAATTAGTAAGCCGGAGTTCAAATATAAGACTTGTAATATTAGAAAAATATGTAAAAAAATATTATAAAAACTAATAATTAAAAAATAGAATCAATAAAATATTTAAAGTTATAATACTTAATACTTAAAGTTTATAAAATTTAAAAATAAGAAATACTATTTAATTTTTATTAATTTATCTACTAGCCGCGTAAAAATCTATTTATTAAAAAATCTTAAGAATAAAGCTAGTAATATATTAATTATATTTAATAAATAATATAACAATATTATTAATTAATATATTGTAGAATAGCATCTTAATAATAACTGTAAGTTTATAAAATTTAGAAAGTAGTATAAATCTAAAAATATTATATATTTTATATTAGCTTTATATTACTATTATTAGAATACCTATACAGAATAATATAAATAGTATATTATATTAATAATTAGAATTATATTAATTAATACCAGCCTACTAGAATATTTTTAGCTAAAAATAATTAAAATAGTAGTTTATATTATTAACTATCTAGTTCTACTAAATAAAAATTTATTACTAATCTTAAAATAATATAAATATTTTAATACTAAATCTAATATTATATTAATTAAATATCTTTATATATATAACTATAAAATCTATATTCTAATCAACTCTAATAATTCTTAATATATTAAAAAATATAAATTTAAATTATAAATATAAATCAGCTATTTTATCGGCTATAAAAATAATTATAGTTATATATTTTAAATCTATAAATAAAAATTTAAAAGAATTATATACTTTAATAGTATTAAGTTTCTTAAATAATATATATATAATAATAATTATAATAATAATATTAGAAATATTTTTATATATTCTTGTTATAGGATCAAGACCCTAGTATAGAGCTCGGCCTCAGGCACCAGTTGGTGCCTAAGGTCTCGCAACACCACACACTAACTAATATTAGTCTAGCATACATAAAAAAATTTTATATAAACAGATAAAATAGCTCTTCAGTTATTTCTTTTTATTTAAAAATATATTTTAATTAGCATAATCTATCCGTCCTGTAATATTAGAAATAGCTTATAAAAAGTCCTAAAACGGAGCCCGATTAAACATATAAATAGAATAAAACAGAATTAAAAAAATAATAAAATAAATAGATTAAAAAGAACTACAGCCGACTACAGTATCTATAACTATCTATAATAATATACAGCTTTTTCTACAGAAGCTAATCAGCCTCTGTATAAAAATAGTAAAGTAAAAATTAGTCTTCGAAGAATAGATAAATAAATTATAAAATTATAATATAATTCTTATTAATAACAGTAAAACTAGAAAAAATCTTTTATAATAACTGTACAAGCCGAACTATAGATCCCGCCCTTAGCATTCCGATATAAAACTATTTAATAAAAAAGATAAGTACAACTATAAACTTTTTAAATTAAATATATAAACAAAACTTGTAATAAACAGAAACTGCTATTTTATTAGTTTAGAATAAGTTTTCTATATTTATAGTTGATTATATAAAAAAGTAGTACAACAAATACTTTTTTAGATTAAATTTTAGAAAACTGAGACCGTATAACTCGATAATATACTTATTATAATAAATAAGATATTCGGAGACCCAGATATATAGTAAAAAATTTTAAACCGAATAAATATAATAAAGCAAAAAAAAACAGAACTAAAAAAATTTTTAATAACTTTAATAAAGCCTTGCTACAGGCTGAAAAACATAATTAGTTGGATAAGTAAAAGAAAATAATTCTAAATACTATAGTAAACTAAAAATTTATTAAAAGCTTAGTCGGAATTTTATAAAAGTCTATATATAAAGACTACTACAACTAACTACGGTATATAAACTATAATCTTAATAGAATATTCTTTTTTTCTAAGAAAAACTATACTAAGTTTATACTAGTATAATATAAACCGAGCTTTAAACTAATAAAATAAAAATCTATTTAAGTAGCTGTTATATAATAAAATAAATATTATTTTTATATAACTATTAATAAATCCCAGAAACAAGCCCGAAAGATAATATCCAATAAAATATAAAAAAAACATAAAACAGGCTGCTGTTTTTATTATAAATAAAATAAATATCT